ATTTATGAAGCACTATCTGAAACTCAATATCCATCATTCGCACGTGTATTGAAATTTTCTTACTACGGAGGAACAAGTTTTTCTAAGATTGAAAACTGGTTGATAACTTGTGGCATGGGGGTTGTCAACGATACTTGTCGAAGTTGTTGAATACATCTTTATGTAGGAGGAAAATTTTATTCTTTTTTCCCCTTTACATGAAAAGAAGCCACAATTTTATTTATTTTTTTTAACACTCTTAAATCCGAACTGCTTTATATGAGATTAATTCAATATCTAGACTTTTAAAGGTGGACTTGGAAATTTATTACAAAACTAGAATAGCAATCTAGGAAAACTCATTATTGTCCTACCGAAATGGTCCAATTATATTTTTACTTTTATTAAAAAATTATATTAGAAATAAAAATTAAACTAAATAATCATTTTAACACCGAAAAATTATTAGCTTAACAAAATTTTTTAATAAAGTGATTCATCAGAATTGTGTGCATGTCAATGGATTTCAGGTCAAGTTGTGGTGAAGATTAATAAAAAAAGGGGTGGGGTGGGGGCAATAATGCAAAGAGACAAAGCATGTTTCATATCCCAATCAACCTTTCCCATCAAGTTATGTTACTGAAGTTCTGATCGTTGTAATTTTGCTTTCAATCCAATGCATTACAGTTGCCTTGGTCGCTGAATAATTTTAAAACATTTCTTGCACATAACCAAGTGGCTTGGTTTGTCAAAAAAAAAAAAACCAAGTGGCTTGAAATTCATCAATGTCACTACTGATCGACCACACAAATTTAACATTTAAAGTCAGTCTTCGTTTCATTTTGATTGGCAGTTGTTAAAATATACAGTCCCCAAGTATCTTATATCGAAAATCCAAGTCTATCTTTATTTATATTAAAAAAATATTTAGATTTGTCCATTCATTACCAAATAATTTGAGCTTAAACGCAAGTTCTTTGATAGTAGTCTATACATTACCAAGCACCTAGAGGTACAAAATTATTCTCCATGGTGTTCATGATGTTTCATTTTTTTTTTTAACTAATTGTGTAGTGCGGTTCAGTGGAAAAAACTTGTTCATTCTTAATCAAATGTGGTGCATTCAAACCCTGCTTTAGGCTTAGAATAATTAAAGTTTTTTTTTTTTGAAAAAAAACAAACTTAAATTCCACCACTAACTTGTCGAGATGTTTAGAATTGAACTCAATGATCTACTGAAACTCATGAGATTATCTCCTTATTACTCTCTCATTGATTTTTTCGTTCCAGTCTTGTAAACTGATTAAAATTAGTAGATAGGACGTTCTTGAAATACATAATTTAAGATATAATAGGATGCGATGTAATAATATAGATATCTTCAATTAATATACATGTATCATTTTCCAAAAAAAAACACCTTAATGATTAATCAACTTAAAATTCACATTACGTGAATTGTATTGATCCTTCGGTTTTGTGCTTGGACTGTTGGAGATGGATACTCAAACGAGCATATTCGGGACTTAGTTGGGCCAGAATCTAAATCCGACTTCAAAGTAGTTACTGCATGTAACACCTGAGTTCACGCCCGTAAAAAAGCTTGTGGCTTTAGCCCAACTAGTAGTATGTAACCCATCTCAAAAAGTTGACATTTTTTTTGGGGGCAAAGTTTTTCAGGAGCTTCATAGTTTGTGAGATTTTTGGTGTTTTCGTTGATTATGGAAAAAAGAAAAAAAAAGAAAAAGAAGCCTCAATTGTGTAATTTCTCAAATGTGGGCATATAGCTGTTTCTGCATATAGAAATTTCATTCAATATTCCCACCCTCTCGTAATAATTTGGAAGTTCGATTTGACGCGCAATCAATACAGTGCTTTCTATTTTCAAATTGACTGTTAGTTTTCTTAGCTCGATTAAAACAAATTGATGGTACCTTAAAATTTTTTTATATTGATTACTGAAATTTTTTTTTGTGTTTTGTGGACTCTATGATATATTATATCGATGTAAAATTCGTCCCAATTCTTTGTTTGGGTAGAAATTGTGTTCGACGACTTTCTTCTTTTTCTTAGGAAAACTGACGAACAAGTTCCTGGGTTGCGAACAGTGATTCGATTGGTGATACAGTAAAATTTTTATTTTATTTTTAGCTTTATTCTCTCTCTTTTTTTGGGTTTGAAAAGAAACTTTATTTTGTAGATATCTCCTTACGAAAGAAATGAGTAAAAAAGTATGAATATTCAAACAAAAAATTATGGTAGAAACAAGGTGTATTATCATATATTCAAACTTCGTTTGCCTTTTTACTTCAATTAAAGCATTTTTTTTAAAAAGAAAATCAGTTGTTTATAATTAACTGATTTTCTTTGCATGCTTTTGGTTCAAAAAGTTGAGAAAAATTCAGGCCTAAAAACTGGACTTGAATATTGCTGCATGGAGCACTATGATGCAAGTGTGGAAGAGGCCAGGGAGAAATTATAAGAGATTTGCAACGATGGATGCATGTTTGGAAGGGCATCAATGAAGCGTTCTTGAGGTTGAGGCCAACCATAATTTTAATAAGCACCGCGAGGATGGATTCGTCACTTATATATCCAGACGTTGCTTTTGAACTTTCCTAAGTAATTCATGCCTACGTTTGAACTCTGGCTCCTGTAATATTCTTTTCGTCCCGAAATAATTGTTTAATTTGTATTTTTAATTTTAACTTATATTATTACTAAAAATGAAAATTTTAATTCAGACAATTATGGTAATCTATGTTAGTAGAATGGTTTGCTGATCGAAATTTATTTACAGTACATTTTTTCATCGTGTAACCGACTGTAATTTCTTAATCGGTTATGATTAGTTTTGTAAGCTTATTCACCTTGATTCATTTTCGAGAATAACCATTCATTATAATTTGTCAGCTGATTTTTTTTTGTGTTTTTTTTTTTTTTTAACTCTTTCGTTCACCTTTAATTAGAATGAAGAAACTTGTAACGAATAGTATAGGAATGTGGGATCACAAAAATTTCTTCTTCTTCCTGTTGTAGGCTTATCACCAACATCTAAAGAGTAAGAAAATAATTCCTACTAAGTCCATCACTGTAATGACTACCTTAAATTACTAACTACTTGATAGTAACCTACTACAACGTTCACTCACAAAGTTACTGACTAGTACCAATTAAAACAAGTAAAAAAGGTAATTTAACTACAGTACACTGATATATATATATATATATATAGTATGATTGGATTACACCATATAGGCTTGAGATTTTGACAAAATGAAGGATTTAAACTCAAAAAAGAGAGAAAAAAAAATATGAGGGAATTGATGCAAGAATATAATATTGAGGTGAGCTGGAATTGGAAACAAATATTAAAGCTGAAAAAGAAAGCCAAATTTGGGACTCGATGGAGCACATTGGGAATTTGCTGAAAAGGGAAAAATAAACAACAACATCTGGACCGGATATGAATGGTTGGCAGGCCATGAGGAATATGTTTGGATTGTTTTTTTAGTGCGTGTTTTTAGGTGTTTTTGTATTGGAAATATAAAAAAATACATTGAAAATATAAAAAGACATGCTTCGATAGGAAAGATAATAATAATAAAATATGAAAAAACCATAAAAAACCAACCAAACAGATAAAAAACCAGTGGAAATTTGTTGGTCAAGATGTATACAAACTCTCCGGAAGCATGCTTTTATTGCATTGGTTGATGTGCAAATTAAGGATCGTCTATGGACAAAGGAAAGAAATGGAACACTTTCATAGTTTCATATTGTTGACACAGAGAGCTTTGAGCCTCCAGACAGACTAACAAGTCACACGTTTAATCTTGTAATTTCATTTAACCTAACAGTAACAGATACCATATATGGGAGGAATGCAATGGTCGTGTTTTTGGCAAGCGTTGGAGGATGAAATATTTAGACTCGTTCAAGCTGAAACTATAATTAGAAAGTTGGAAAGTCTATGGAGATGAGAGTTTAATATCGTCTGTAGAACAAGCTACTCTAGACCAAGTTTTTACTGGTCTAGCAGTGGTGTAGAGAGAGAGAGAGAGAGAGAGAGAGAGAGAGAGAGAGAGAGAGAGAGAGAGAGAGAGAGAGAGAGAGAGAGAGAGAGAGGAATGTAGAATGATGTAAAGCGTTGACGTACGGTTTGACTGTTAATAAAACTTTTATTTACAGTTTATGAAAGGAAAACTAATTAGTTGTTCAACCAAGGGTAGTAATTTAACTGAGTGAGTGATTTAAATACAAGTTAAATACAATTTAACTGAGAACTGATTTCGCAATGTGTGCCTATCCAAAATCAATTCTCCATGTTTAATCGTTACACTTGAGCACTCAGAGAACTTGGTAGTATATGGAGGTAAAGAGTGATAGATTTTTGTGTATGTAGTATTCCTTTTCTTCGAGAAGGATTTTTAGTTTTTCACTCTTATATAAAAAATTTATATCAGAAATGAAAAATTCAAACACGAACAATCATTTCATGATAGGAAAAATTCAACATTCTCTTATTAACGTTTATTGAAATTATGGAAAAATAATGTTTAAAAAAAAACTTACCGTTTTAAAGATTAAACAAAAGTTGAGTGACATAAATCATTTCTACTCTAATGAAACTCATTCAAAGCTTGATAATTTATGCAATCTTGAATCCCATGAGCACAAACTATGTAAGTATAGGACTTCCGACAATGTTTATTCGATTATATAATGTAAATAACATCAAGTATAGTTTTAATCATGTACTTCGTTAGTGAAATAAAATTGTTTTATTTATTTGCGATGTTATAATTTGATGAAGGCCAAATATTTACTTTGGCTCACAAAGCCAAAAAGGAGTAAAATCAGATTCAGTAGTGTGACAGTACTTACTAGTTTTTTTTTTTTTTTTTTGCATTTTTATTTTAATTTTTTGGGAGTACTATAATCTATAACTATTTATTAAAGTCAAAACCAGAGAGCTTGTTATAATTTCACCCATTGATTTTGACTTTCTGAACCCGAAAATGGAAACCCGAGCTCTCTGCCACCACCGCCCGCCACCGTCCTCCTCCTCCTGCTACGGCTCCGGCTCACTTTCTTCCGCCCCACTTTTCAGAACCATTTCTATTACCACCCGGAGACCATCCCATGCGTTCCGTTCAATCAAATGCTCCTCCACCTTTGCTCCTCCTCCTTCATTGGGTTCTTAATTCTAATCCTTTGCTGATTCCATTTGAATTCAAAATCACTGCATTGGTTAAATTCGTGTTTTGATTTTCTTTATTTTGGGTGCAGTGGACCAATCTGTGAGGTTCAAGGAGGCGGCTAAACATGGGAATTTGATCCCTTTGTACAGGTCTATATTCTCCGACCACCTCACTCCGGTGCTGGCTTACCGGTGTTTGGTTAAGGAGGATGATAGGGAAGCTCCCAGTTTTCTGTTTGAATCCGTTGAGCCCGGCTTGAAAGTTTCGAGTGTTGTAAGCTTCATTTCACATTTCCTTTAAACTGACCCAATTGCATGCAAACACCCGGATTTTTTGTAATTTGCATAAGACATTGTCTGCGTGAATGAATTTGTGTTTGGAATTCTGTGTTTAGGGTATGGTAATCTATTTTTACGATTACCGGTTTTGTGTATGCTTACTCTCCAGCGGAATTGAATTTGTTTAAGGGGTCCATGGGCATTTATTATGCTATTGAATTTAGTTTACTGTGTTTGTGGTCAATGATGCATAGTACGGAAAGAAATGGGGAAGTTATTTGCTTAACATGGGTCAAAAAGTTATTATCTGCTCCGAACCTGTTTAATATGGAAACCAATTTGCTTTAGGGGCGATACAGTGTGATTGGAGCTCAGCCAACTATGGAAATTATTGCTAAGGAGAACAGGGTGAGTATCATGGATCATCGTCAAGGACGGAGAGTGGAACAGTTTGAAGAGGATCCAATGGTTGTTCCTCGGAGGATCATGGAGAAATGGAAACCTCAGCGTATTGAGGAGCTTCCGGAAGCCTTTTGTGGTGAGGACTGGGTCCCTTTTTTCAGGTTTGGTTGGGAGTTCGGTGATTGATTAATTGCATCGACAATGTGAAGTAAGAATTTTGAGCATGACATGAAAATGTAACTAAATGGCGTTCTTGGAGGCTGATTATATAGACCATAGTTTTAAGGATGAAGTTTTTCTCAGTTTATAATTTTGCTTTTGAAATGATTGGCCCAACAAGCTCCATGTAGGTCTCATCTTTACATGTTCTCTGGGGTTCATACAGGCTCAAAGAAAGAGTTCGCTGATGTATTTCGAATTATATCACATTGGTGACATTTGTTCCACATGGCCAACCCATTGTGGGATAAAGGCTTAGCTAGTTTAGAAATGATCACATTGCTCCTGAAGGCATGTAAATTGTCTGATGTTAGTAGGCTATGTCTATTACTCAACAATGTCCTTTGAAAAGGTCTGACTGGTGCCAATTACTCATTTCTTGCAACGAGTTTAAGAAAATTATCACATTTCTGAAGAAGGCACCTGATACTAATGTTTTGAGGCTACTGTCCCGTAAAAGCATCTGATCTGTTTTTAACTACATCTTCCTTTATTAGGTGGTTGGGTTGGATATTTTTCATATGATACTGTGCGGTACGTGGAGAAGAAGAAACTTCCTTTCTCAAATGCTCCTGTCGATGATAGAAACCTTCCCGACATGCATCTAGGCTTATATGATGATGTAATTGTATTTGATCAAGTGGACAAGGTAACCCTTTTAAGCAGATGATTTAAGTTTTCTGATGAACTTTGCTTTGGATATAAGGATCTCTGTGATGTCATTACATTAGGCATATTGTATTTATAATTTTATATACCTCCGTTGACATCCTTGATGAAAACTTGTCGTAAAGAATCAAATGTTAAATGGATGTTTAAGCAAAAGAACCTTATATTTTAAGGTGTCATTACTTATTTTCTTTGAGAGATACCACTTGTTACACTTGAAGAATTCTTCATAACTGTATGTTTATGATTAGTGTACAAGTCTTAAGAGTGGTTCCTATTCTAAAGTGAATCTCACTGGAAATACTACGGCTTTTCCATCTACACATTTATTTGAGCTTGGATTCTTTTTCAATATCATATGGTCTTATATTTCGTTCTTTTTGTGGACTCTCTTATGTTTCAATCTCAGAAAGCTTATGTAATTCACTGGGTGCGGCTGGATGAATTCTCATCAGTGGATGCAGCATACAAAGATGGAATTAAACGTTTGGATTTATTGATGTCTAGAGTACATGATATAGCCCCGTACATTATCAAACTTGAAACTGTATTTTGGTTGTAGATATTCTAGTCTCTTGTTTAATTTGGTACAAATTAATCTTGAATGCAGTCCGAGGTTACCTTCAGGTTGCATCAACTTGCATACCAGCCTTTTTGGTCCTTCATTGACGAATTCAAGCATGACAAGTGAAGAATATATGAATGCTGTGTTGAAATCCAAAGAGCACATTTTGGCTGGTGACATTTTCCAGATTGTTCTTAGTCAGCGATTTGAACGGAGAACTTTTGCAGATCCCTTTGAAGTTTACAGAGCATTGAGGATTGTCAATCCAAGTCCATACATGACCTACTTACAGGTTTTCAGATTTTTCACAATCATAAAAGGGGCAAGTTTTTGTCATAGTTTTCCAACTTTTGATGAATAACTCTTATAACCAGGCAAGAGGTTGTATTCTGGTTGCATCGAGTCCTGAAATTCTTACTCGAGTTAAGAAGGTAGGTCACTGCTTGTCTGTATTATGCCTTCTCTTGGACATTACTTCTTTTATGGATCTCCAATGCCAGAGTTTGTTGAATGTTGCAGGGGACAATAACCAACAGACCGCTAGCAGGTACTTCAAGGAGAGGTAAGACACCAGAAGAAGACTACATGTTAGAAACTCAGCTGCTTCATGATGAAAAGCAGTGTGCAGAACACATTATGCTTGTTGACTTGGGACGTAACGATGTTGGAAAGGTTCTTCCCTAATATCATTCATGTGTTACATTTCATTTACCCAACCAGGGATCATGCCAAATTTTGCTCTGTGCCCTTAATATCTGACCTACATCGAACTGGACTGTTCTTTAGCTTTTAGTCTGTCTTTTAAACGATGCCTAAAAGAATATCTTACATTATCTCTAGTTCTTTGCAAGTTTTACTGAGTTTCATTTTCCGTCAGGGTTAGGAGGTTTTTAGATTCTACAGTGTTATATTTCCATATCATGTAATGCACCATGTATTTTACTCCCATAGATGTATTGCCATTGTGGAAATGCATTGTAAATCTTCTGTTGGTGTAAAGCTGTGTATTGCGGTACTCCTGAAACTGCTACTTGCTTTCTGTCCTCAGTCTCTGAGAATAATCCAATGAACCCAGAACCATGAACTGAAATGCCCCCCTTTGATATGCTTGTATATTTGTTGTAGGGCATAATTCTGTATACTTTATCACTTAACCTACTTAATGGTGAAAAATTTAGGTTATAGCTCACTCTGACTCTAAATCTGGCTCAATGATGTAGAATGTTCTGTTAACAATCGATTTGCAGGCTACAACGTAATTGGAAATACTGTTGTTGAACTTGGTAATCGTCATCATGGTCTGTATTTGAATTCTGTAATCCGATTAGAATGTTGCACTTTTTGTCTCATCATGAAATTTCTTTGGTGTAGGTGTCAAAACCAGGTTCTGTGAAGGTGGAGAAACTGATGAACATTGAACGGTATTCTCATGTCATGCACATCAGCTCCACTGTAAGTGACGCTTTGTTATGCTAATATTTCAATAGATATACATATATTCTCAAATGTTATTGCAAAATCTGGCTCCTCTTCCTGACTAACTTTATTTGTTTTTCTTCTTCTGTGTGCTTTACTTTGTGGTTTCCTGAAATAAAATATTGTTAACTGTCCATTGTTCTTCTTCAATACCAAATTGCAGTCTCATGAACTGACTGGCCTTACAGGTTACAGGAGAGTTACTTGATCATTTAACCAGCTGGGATGCTCTTCGAGCTGCACTGCCTGTTGGCACTGTTAGTGGAGCACCCAAGGTTCTTTTATGCTCCTTTTCAATTTGTCTATAGTCATTGTAATGATAGCGGTTATGAACTCTTGTACAAGTAATTCCTGTGTCGATGCCAAGTTTCTTTGACATATTTATCACCTTAATGTTCGTCCGATTCCATTCAGGTAGTCCTATCCTACACTGTGTGATGACTTCTTGATTTTCTTTTTTCTGTAAAAGGTAAAGGCCATGGAATTGATCGATCAGTTGGAAGTTACTAGACGTGGACCTTACAGTGGTGGATTTGGAGGAATCTCTTTCACTGGTGATATGGATGTTGCTTTAGCTCTAAGAACAATTGTATTCCCAACAGAAGTACGTTATGATACCATGTATTCTTACAAGGATGAAATGAAGAGGCGAGAATGGATTGCCCATCTTCAAGCTGGGGCAGGTATAGTTGCAGATAGTGTTCCTGCTGATGAGCAAAGAGAGTGCGAGAACAAAGCTGCTGGGCTTGCCCGTGCAATTGATCTTGCAGAGTCATCTTTTGTTGAGAAATGATATCCAGCATACCATCAGATGTCCTTTTTCTGCATCTTAGAGTTTCATTATTTTCAGAGTAATGTAAAAATCTACCTTAAAGCAAAGGTAATGCAGATGTTACAGTATCTGCCTGAAATGAGGATAGTTTAAGATCGTGCATTGCGGGATAGTAGGATCCATGGTTCATCGAACCATGTTGATTTTGTAGTTGTAGTGATGTTGAAAATACAACTACGATCTGTTGCAAATTCATACCTGAAAAGATTTTGTTGATTCTCCTGGGGCCTCTGCCCTTTCTTTTGTAATTGCTGAATGCGTATTGACCGTTATAAGTTGGCATTTTTTTCCTTCCGTGGCTGGTTTGCTGCCATTGGGCTCTCTATAGTTTGAAGCTTTATTGGAAGAAATGTAGGTCATTGAACCAATTGGCTTTAAAGACAGACAGTCAAAGCCCTTCTGCTCCTTTAGTTGGTAGAGGCACTAGATGGAATAGATTAATCTTTTTTTTTTTATTTGTTTTTCTGCTAATCCCTGATTAATGCATTATTAACACATTTGGTTAACCTGTTGAACTTTTTTTGTAATTTCTTTAAAATCACATGAGCAGTATTATCTCCTCCGGGAGGCTGCAGATATTGCCTCTGCTTGTGTTAACCAATTACTGTTTGATGTCTATTTTGAGGAGATTTCTGTTATAGTAATTGTAATTGATGTTGAGATGCAGGAAACCCAAGATTCTGTGCTTCTTTGCTATGTAATTCTGACCAAGAAAAATGCAAAGTAAATAGATAAAATGAATTCAACTCAATATAGTATCGGTGATGGAGAATCTTCAAATGTGTTTCCCGGGGGACCAACGTAGCAGGAACACACTATCTCAAGTGAAATTAATAGTGCCAACATGTTGCCTCAGGTGCTACAAAATTGGTGTTTTACAAAATTTTACAATAAACTGGGGAAAAAAAATACACTATCTTTGTATCTGTATCGGAGTGTGCAAGGACAATATGGTGTAGCCTAGTTCTTCACTTGCTCTCACTTCACTTGAGAATCTCTCTTTTGAAAAGTTTCTGGAGCGTCTGGTGATCGCCATGCCTTGCTGAGGCTTTACAAAAGCAGCTTTCAAGCTTAATTTGTTGCCTGCGAGAGGGGGAAAACTTACTGAAGTTCGAACCTGACCCTGCCGGTTCATCTGAAGAGATGACAGCGTAGGAGAAGACAAACGAGGAGCCTGTGTCGTAAGGTTGTCATGCTTCCAGATGGAAAAAGACTGAAGCAGCTTGAAAGGAACCTGCGATTTCAAAGACAGGCTTAGTGTAGAGCAAACACATTAAAATTCCATCAACTACTGAGAAGAAACAACTATGAATGCTGTAGTTTTCAAATTCCCTTTTTTCTAGTTCAGATAAATTTTCCAGGCTGACTTAAGCTCGCAATTTCAATACTCTGCACATTAATAATATTCCAAGTTCCTAAATTATGATCAAGAGATGGAGAAGAAAGATCCTTCTCGAACAAAATAAACGCAGCTTGTCATTTGTAAAACAAAAGACAAACTTGGTTCAGACATCAGAGAACCAAGGCGGTTGACTCTCAAGTCCATTACCAGTAATACCACTAAACTAACTGAAAATGAAAATAACCCAAAGTGAACTTAAACTCACTGTATTAAGAAGGCTGGATGCACCAAAAGACAAAGAGGATGCAGCAAATGGAGGACTTCCAGCTCCGCGTTTTTTCTGGTCATTTGCTGACCCTTGACCTTCAACAGAACCAAAACTGGATGGCGTCGCATCTTCTTCCTCATCTTCGACTTCCTCCTCACCACCATCCTCTTCTTCATATTCCTCTTCTCTGGCTTCAGTCTTCTGAACTTCTTCTGTTGGTTCAGAAGGTAAAATATCGCCCTCATCTTGCATACCTAGATCTACTTTCTTTTCTTCCTCTTTCTGCATCATCTTCAACTGCTCATCCATATCTTCAATGGCCTCCTTCAGACACAACTCAGCTTCTTTCAATTCAAGTTCCAAGTTTAATAGCTCAATCTTCGATTCACTTACTTTCTTCTTTTCTTCGGCCCATTTTTGCAGTTTTTCAAGCACTGGTTTGAACGCATTGTCCACAGATTTCAGAAGACGCTCCACAAATGATTCCTTTTTCACAATTACTTCTCGTCCATAGAACTCATCAAATCCAAGAGGAAGAAACTCAGTCTTTTCTGGTTCTACATCTTCACCTTCTTTCACAGCTGGCTGCCAAAACAATCGAATCCCATGCTCATCGTCCTCCACATAATTGATAATCCTCCCAGTTGGTGTATGCAAGATGAGAGGATCTTCAGTATATATGAGCTTTGATGGATCCTTAGGATCAGGCTCTGGTTCTTTGTTGACAAGAACAAATTCTGGCTTCTCATCTAATGAAAGAGAAAATGTATATAAGACAAACATGCTTTAAATGCTAGAGATGTAGTAGCACATCAAACTGGAAAAATACAAAAAAGCAGTTAGCTCGATCAAGAAAAGCAGAGCAGGATTGCAGGAACAAGGTTAATGCAGGAAAAGCATTCCTGACATCAGTCAGTCAGTATCTCTCACATGGGATGAGAAAAATGGTGTACCTTTAGCCCACCAATATTCAAGTTCAGCAGGCATAGGCAATCTCAATGGTGCTTTATAGAATGAGTTCAACCACATTTCCCTCTCTTCATCCACCTCTTGCGCATATGTTTTCCAATAATCAGGAACCTGCAATCAAAGCTGTTTTTCAATTTCTGAGAAATTCTAACAAGAAACATAACAGTAAAGAAATTCTGGACTTACTTCATAAAACTGGTTAATGAAGCCTGGCGCCATCCATACATCATCCTCTTCATAAAAATAAGGATGTTGCGGATCATTGTACGGACCACGCTCTTCTCTAACCACTGGCACAAAAATAGTGAAGGTAAGAAAGGCAACCAAAAGAGATTTATGTATGCGAAGGAGTAAAAGAGATTCAAAAAACAAAAAAGAAAGGAAAAAGGAAAAGAAAAAACCACATCCACTTCTTGTGTGAAGGAGTACATAAATAAAAAAGACCACATCCACAACAGGAAAAGCTTATGGGAATTCGGATCAATATGGAAAGATCTAAAAACCAAACTCAAGAATTGGCGAAGTTTACAGCAAAATGCACTTAAGAAGTGAATTCAACACCATCTTCTTTACAAGATTACCTAAGAATGTGGAAAGGAGTAATTACAATTTGAACAATTCATTTGATAAAGAATTGTACAGTGAAAACTGTTAAGCATACATTTTAAAAGATCTGGTCATTGCCATAGCAGAAGAAGTATACGAGGCCAGCAGCCAACAGTGAACCAAAAAATCCAATAAGGTCTATTGTCACTAATGTCGCACTTAAAATGGCAGTTGCTAACCCCCAAAATTCAAACTATAAATGCTATTTCCTGGGCCTTAACAGTAGCTCTGTTTCTGAACTTCTAATTACCTGTAAAAAAGAGTCCATTTTCAACTATTTTTGGTTTAATTTTCTTACTAATATGACTACGAGAAATTCACAACTTAAAGTAATGCCTAGCCCTTAAAAGTAGCCATGTTTCTGAATTTCTAATTTTCCTGTAAAAAAGAGTCCATTTTCAACTATTTTTGTTTAATTTTCTTACTAATATGACTACGAGAAATTCACAATTTAGTAAGGCCTACAAGTGGAGACCTTGGCGAACAAGGTATCTCATCTCTAGTAGGCTAAAACTCATATTGGTATTTACATTTTCAAAAATTGACTCCTTCGTAAAACAGATGGGGAATTGTATAACCAAGCTAGTCTTTCAAACACAAGCTAGTAGACATCAAAGAGTTTCCCATTAAAAATTTGCACAAGGCAAAGACAGTTAAGAAACAAGCAGCCGTATTTTCCAAAGTCTACTCTACTGGGATTAAGATTTAATAGTTCTTAGTAGTTACAACATTTTACAGAATAAGGTCGTCAAATTCAAAGATCATACTGCAGAAAAGAAATATATTCTTTAAAGAAAGCAAAATTCCACATACTTCCATCAGGTTTATTGACAAACATCCGAGCTTTTGCGGCTGCAACTTCTGCTATTCCTGCATGCATCTGTGATACCAGAATAAGAAATTTGCATCCGATATACCATAGAGTAGGCAACAAGTAGAATGAAAATGTTATATCAAGTTACCGCGGATATATTTGCATCACATCCATGAGAATCCTCCAAAAGCTCTCCAAAATAGAAACGACCCTGAGGTATAACTCAGTTTCATCAATCAAGAATTACTGGTACAAGAAGGTAGCAGACATAGATATCTATGGTTTACAGCCTTAACTTGTTTCTCATGAATGAGTCGACTAATTAGTTGACAGGCGCTTGAATGTCTATTTTGCCTTTTGAATTGTGTACACATGAACCTAAGGAAACGTTACTACAACATTCACAATCTCAATTAAGATGAAACAACCAGAACCATATACTTACATATATTGTACGTTCATTAACTTCATATACACCACATCCATGAAATCTCCCATGCTTCCACTGACCAGCATATCGGTACCGACCTTTCTCCCTAGCAACATGACCAATCATTTGATACAAATCGACAAAATTTCTTTTCCAGAAAAATATAACTTTAACCCAGTTAACAAACAAGAGAAAGAGATAAACTTACAAAAAAATGTCATCAAAAACAAAAATGCATCCACTGCGCCTTTATTTAGCCATAATAGATAGGCTATATAGATCATAACTCACTATCACGGACAAAAATGATACAGAGGAAAGTTATGTAAGACACCTACAAGATTACCACAATGTGGGAACATATTGACTCATTGCTGGTCTTCATGCATTAAAGCTAGACTCATGCCGCAGCTAAAAAATTATTAAGACCCCAGAACTTCAAGTGAAAATGAAAAAGTGCATGCAGAACTTCCATGATTGCGATAAAAACTTGGACTATGAAGGCATGCCAAAGTACTAGATACACTACAACTGCAGACAAGAGAATCTCCTTTGCAGGTAAACATGCTTCATGCGACAAGCAGACATTATGTGCAAGTTTCAGAGTTGTATAATTATAATTGTTCTGTTGGCAAAAACATTTACCATCATATTGACCAGGATACTAATTAAAATAGACAAATGAAATAAAATATAAGAACACTCACGGTTTCCTTCCAAATTGCTGAACCCATTCTTCTCTTTCATAGAAAGGAATTTCATACTCTCCGTTAGCTAAGTTCAGAGCATCTTCCACATCCATCTCCAACCACTTCCTGTCTTCAGGTGACATGTAATCCATTTTAATTATCTTCCCTTCCGCCCTCATCTTTGCTTCAAGCCTAGAAACACATACCATACAATTGATGACCATATACAAGGCAAACAAAACCATGTATGCCAGATTGATGCCTCAAATGTACAAGTGATATGCTTAAAGTGTTTCATACTTGGACCCAGGCACAGGTTCTATACCAGGAACGTCCACTTCAACAACCCCATGACCTTCCATGTTGTTCTGTAGCCATTCTCCCTCGTATCTATCAGGCGAAAACAAATTAAATGGGAAATTAGACTTCTGAAATCAAGAAAAGAGATTTCAAAAGGTTTAGCTTAATCTGATGGACAAACCTGACCAGCCCATCCTCAGCTTCATACACACCCTTGCCATGAGCCAAGTCATCCCAAACAGTGCCTTCATAACTTGAAAAGAAAAGGAAAAGTTATCATAGATGGAAAATTTCCAATAAATTGTGTCAAAATCAGAAAATGCAGTTGGTTATACTCCGTCATTCACAACATATTTGCAAGACACTGCAACATGAAAAGATAGTGACTCAGTTTCGAAATTATTACGCACAAGATCACTCAACCATCTTTGCAAGTGTACTGTATATTAGCACACTCTAATTCCCATGAGGATTGAGAGACTTAAAGACTGAGTCAGTCCACCCCAAGAAGTACCAATCAACTATAGGACGATGCAACACAAAAGTTAACAGATTGAGAAACTTTAAAAAGTAAAAATAACATAAAAATCGTTATAATCTGAAGCATAGACGGTGATTGCAAGTGTTTCACACAGCACGGTTAGTTGTCCACCATAACAGTAAAAAGGGGCTCTTCCATTTTATGTCTTTTAGTAAATGTTGCTTCTTTTGTTGGCATCTCCTCAACTTCCCCTATATCATGATTATTAGAACTAAAAGGTTAGGGACTAATTTGACAAAATTAACCTATCCTAAGAATTGAAACCTCAAGGTTGAGGCTGGCTGCCCAGCTTCATCTCATGATAAAGTATGAGACCTATGTTTACAGAGAAGCATAAATCTGGTGTTTTAAACAATTCAAAACAACTTATCCCAAGAGATGGAAATCATTAAGCAGTGAATTTCTATCACATTTCTATGTAGTGAGCTCTATTCTCTGCATCGCCTGGAAATCTTGTCACCATCACAAAATGAGAAACTACTTACTTCCAAACATCCTATGCCATATCAATTAAACCGCAATGGGTTCTATATCAACCACGTAGTTCACGAGAGTGGCTGATATTGCCATGTATCACGCCTAAACACCCAACAAACAAAAGCAAAACCAAGCAACAACAAAACAGAACTAATATGCTTCTTTACAAGATAAATACTGATCCGTTTGAAGATACCATCAAAATCAAGACTTGATGAGTGCTAAAACAAAGCTAACCTATTTTATTTATATCAAAGTAAGAAGGAAAGACGTCAAAGAACCTTTAAATTTCTAACTGAACAGCAAAAGAAATTGATCAACTGCTACAAACATTTCAAAAAAAAAAAAAAACAAGAATAACTGGAAGCCAATGAAAATTTGCATAAACAAAGTTGCAATTAAAACTTACGAGCTGCCATCGGGGAAAATGTAGCTAACCCAAGTCAAGAACTCTTCAATCCTATCAAGCTCTTCAATCACAGCCTTGGGGTTCGAAATGTCAAAATGATTATCAGGAATAACCGGATAAGGCTTCCTGTAGGGCACATAAAACGGGGCAATTGGCGGGTCCTCACCGTCAGCCAGCATATCTTCAACAACATCAAGGTCGTCTTCATCAACGAAATCCGGGTCCCAACCTGGGTCAGTCATTTGAACCGGAGCATCAGCCCAAAGCTCCTTCAAGTCTTCTTCAGTCCAATTCTCCTTATCCCGCGGAAAATCAAAAAGGTCATCCGGGTACTCAACCAACCTATCTTCCTCTTCTCGCTCTCTTTGAAGACTCTTGGAATTGAGAACCTTGGTAAACTTCTTGATATTGTTTTCGGGGTCGTTGTCTTCTTCCTCTTCTGGTTCTCCGGGTCGGGTGTACGTTAAGGGTTCTTCGTCGTACTCAGAATCGGAGTCTGAGTCGGCTTCTTCTCCATCTGGGTAATCCCTTTCTTCGTCTGAGAAACCTTCCTCTGGGAATTCATCATCTGGGTCGGGCTCATTTCGAGGTTTTTCATCCGCATTCTTCTGGTCCGCCATTGTTGTTCCTTCTTACACAGCTCTCAGTGGGAGTGAGAACTAAGAAGAGAAGATAAGGTAAGAGTGTGTGCAATAGTGTCGTTTATACACTGGGATGGTAACAATGTGGAAGGGTGGTGTGGTAACAATGTGGAAGGGAAAGTTTGTGCTTTTTTTTTTTTTCCCTTTTTTTTTTTTTTCTTTTTTTAGTGACTAATCCCCTCGCTAAATTGTAGGTTGGTGGGACAGGTAGCCAAAGTATTTAAAGTTGTTTCATGTTGATGGCGAAATTCAAACCCTCGACCTATGATTTAGGTTGGAGGAGTCCCTTCTACTCCATCACAACCACTTTAATTTTTTTGTGAGGGTTTTTGAAAATGAGATTTAATATTCTAATTTGTTCGATTTAATTATTGCGAGTTTGGAGTTTGACAAGATGCTAACCAAATGTGTGTGTGTGTTCAGTTTATTTCCTTGGTTTTCTTATCGTCATCAACTCATCATTTAATTTGATTTGATTTGATTTTTTATTTTTAAAAAACAAATGCTCAATTGATATGAATGTATTTTTGTTTAATAATTGATTAATTTTGACTAAAATTTGAAAAATGGTCTTTTATATTAAGTCAAATGAAAAATAATCTGCTACATTAACATTTTTGTAAAATGGTACTCTACATCTTTGCATGTATTTTTTTTTTAATCTTTGACACTATTTTAGAAAAGTAATTATATCGTACAACACAGTTCACAATATTTGGTGAATTGGTTTATTATTTACACGCGCTCCTACAATTTTGATTTTTATCTCTTTCTTATCTATTCAGTCAGATTTTTTTTTTTTTTTATTTAGAAGTCATAACTAATCAAATCCAAACAAACTACAATTCAAATTTTGGCAATTTATATGGTAAACCATGTTTATAATAGATTGTGGACTTGTTTTAGGAATTGTATTACACGCTTTAAAAAGAGGTTAAATTTTAATTAATTTTTATTATAACAACCACGCGCATCAATATAATTGATATTTTTTTCCCCTTATTATTCTCTTTAGCCAATCGTATCTAAAAAATCAAAACCGAAAATCTAGTATCTTATTAACACTATTTGGCGGTTCATTTAACTTTTCATCTATAAAATAAAACAGAAATTGAAAAGTAGATCATGCAAACTATCTTTCATTCATCTTTAAAAAAATCAAGAATTGCAAGAATGAGTTTTGATTTGAATCAAAACCTTTTGATGTCGTTTATGATGAACGATGATACTTTAGAAGTCTATCAAGGAGGTGGCAGTGATGAGCACTCAAACGATAACGCTAACAATGGATTCATCCAAGATTATAATTTTCACGGGTAAAATCAACGATGATGATCTGGCACAGCTTCAATTGATACATATTGAAGATGATGTATTGTCCCCAACAACTTCAATTAACATCTGTTCATGAAGATAAACTTCCTCCACATGATTCAGGTAATGTTGAGTTTGCATTTAAAAAGTTAAAAACAATAGAGTTTTTGATGAACATGTACTTATATGTTAATGAATAATTTTTAATAAAACCATAAACACGCTTGTCGATATTATTCATTCATGAACTTTTCTATAAATGGGTTTAAACATTTTTTTTTTGGGCTAGGGATTCCTATGTTTTATTCCAATTAAAAAAGATAGTCTCCAAGAGCAGTGCATCTAACTAACCCTTGGGAGTGACAGAAAAAACGATGTATCAAAACATCTCAAATCCTACTGCCTGTATAGTACAAAAAAAAGTTGAGGAACTATGTTATTCTAATACGAACATACGGAAAGGATCATTGATCCATGATCACTAGCCCCTTGGTGCCAATTGGAAGATCTTGCAGAGATGTGAAAACTTGACATAAGCCATCCGAAGCTCTTTTTGCCAAATTTTCTGCAACCGCATTAGCTTAACGATAAAGATACTCTATAGAATAAAACCACCTATCCAATATTGCCAGAGTTTCAGAAAGAGATGAGATGTGCTGCCAAGGAAAATCTCGAACCTTCTTCAATAGCTCCACTAGTACCTTTGATACGAATCTTGAGGCAAAGGTGGCAGATTTACCACGACGCGGAAGCTATGAATTTCCAAGGACTTGAAAACTTGCAAATCCAATATTATGGACTCCAAACTCACAAAAAATAAAAGGAAAGAAGAGATGCAAACCACAAAAATTTGCACCAAAAAGGGATGGAAAGGTTTAGAAGATGTAGAAAGTGTTTAAGGTTAGCAACCCAATTGGTCACCTCTCTAACAACCCTATCCCTTTGATTTATGGATAGAACGGCTAGCGAAAAGGCTCCAATAAACAATTAACAAAGCTCCACAAGTAGAAAAACATTAGGAGATAGGGCCGACCTCCCTTGCTTGGTTTGTGGGCCGAAATTTCCTTCCTCAAATGGGCCTTGTAACACATTAATAATCTTGGGCTTGTAACTTCCACACTTGACATTTTCTTGGGCTAAACCATTTGATATAAGATTATTAAGTGCACTCCTCATCCTTTTACTTCTAGCTTGAGTCATTAGGCCTCCAATGTTGGATAATGGATCTTGAGCCACTCCTTGAGCTTGGACAGTACTTGAAACCCGAACACCTTGATCATCTTGGACTTGATTACCATAGATGTTCACATGAACCTTATTGTTAGTCTGTACCAGAACTGGATGCAAACCCAAATGTTCACATTTCCTCAAACCAAAAAGTAAACCTGCAATTTCCGCCACAAAGCTATCAACATCACCCAGAAAACCTAACTCACCATAAATAAAAGATACCTCCCCTTCCACGAATTATGAACCCATAGCCAACACCTTGATCTCTTGAAGAACCATCTATATTCAAGATAAAAGACCCTTCCAATGGCGGCATCCAACTCACAGGGATGCAAGTCCTTTTTAAAACCCTACCATTCCGTATATGAAAATGCCTTTCTAAAAACTCCAACTCTGCTATGGATTTGCTTGGCATCACATGTACCCGTAAAATATCCGAGACATGATTTGTAATCTTGCGAACTAGCACATGACCCGAAGCAACCACCCCCTCAAATAAGACCTTGTAGCACAACTTCCACAGGTCCTAAAAAATCAAGGAAGGAACCAACATCTTCAAAGTTTTCAAGGCAGTAGAAAAATCTCCTTTATACCACCAAGCAATAAGAACTTGATCTAGGGTTTGCAAATCAAGCAAGCATACATCAAACATTTGAGCAAACAAACCCCACACTCTATGAGAAAAAGGACACCCAAAAAAAATGATAAATTCTGTCATTAGAAACTTTACAAAACGGGCAAACAGAAGGGTACACCTGCAAACCAATCTTGCGTAAGGTTTCCGGAAAAGGTAGTAACAAATTCCTCAATCTCCACATGAAGAGAGATATCCGCATTTGAAGTCGCTGGTTCCATATATTTTTAAGCAGAGGCTCCTTTGGCTTCCTCCTTCTAAATTGTTCATAGGCTGTTTTAATGGAAAAACTGCCAGTCTTGCATGGTTTCCAGACGCGGATATCCGGCTCCTCATCAAATTCAAGCTCCAAAGAGTTAAGCAGCGCTAAAGCCTCTGCTTGCAAAACAGGAGCAAATTTTGCCAGGAAATCTTGCCTTCTGTGAAAAAATTGCCGGATAGTAAGATTAGGTCTAGGAGGAGTACCACCATATCATCCTAGAGAACCCCCATAGGAGTCCAATTGTCATGCCAGAAAGAACTTTCACCACTCCGAATTAAGATTTTTGAATGACGTTTCCATGAGGTCTTTTTTTTTGATGTAGCAGACAGAGAGAGCAAAAACCTGGTCCGTGGTCCTATTCCCGTTTCACCTTCCACCACAGCTTAGCCAAAAAAGCATCTAAGATTGTCTCAAATCCTCTTAAACCCACACCATTTTCCACTATGGGATAGATAAGACCATCCCACGATCTCCAATGCCTTTTTTTAACTCCAGATGTCTCGCCCCAAAGAAAATTCTGACACCTTTTTTCAATAGCCCTAAGCACAGATTTCAGAGGAGGAATAGCTGCAAAAACATGTGTCGAAATGACACTCAGAACATGGTTAATGAGGTGTAGCCTGCCAGCAGGACTTAATAGTTTATTCTTCCAATTTACTATTTTTTTTATCAATTGCATCCAACAGAAATTGAAAGGTCTCAGACTTGACTCTCTGTGTGTAAATCTGGCAACCTAGATACGTAAAAGGAAAAGAACCCTTTGGCATATCTAAAATTCCTTTAAAAACTTCAATGTGACTTGCTCGGCAATCATTAGCTACAAGGAAAATTTTTTTTGCCGGTTCATTTTCTGACCAGAAACCTTCTCATAAGTGCTAAAAAACTCATTCAAGCCACGAAGTGATCTCTGTATGCCCTTGGTGAAGATAATCAAATCATCAAAACTTAACTGAGAGACCACTTGAGCCCCGCCGGGACTCCATAGGTCGCAAGATTCCCAGAGGAATGGTGCTCATTCAATTTTCGGGTCATAACTTCTGAAACCAGGATAAACAAATACGGAGAGAGAAGATCACCTTCCTTTATGCCCCGAGTAGCTTGAAAAAATCCAGCAAGAAAACCATTAATCAAAATGGAAAGCCAACTACCACGTAAGTTATTCAAAATTAAAGTAATGAAACCCTGCGAGAAACCGAATTTTACCAAACCTGAGACAAAAAAGACCAGGAAACGTGATCAAACGCCTTCATCATATCTACCTTTTAGATAATGTTGTCCCTGACAACCTTCCTGTTCAGGAATTGGCATAGATCCTGAGTCAACAATATGTTATCTGTAATGTCCCGTCCAGCCAGAAAAGCTGACTGCTCCTCCGAAATTAATTTCGGTAAAATCACCTTCAATCTCCCTGTGACAATTTTTGTGAAGATTTTATTGAGGAAATTGCATAAGCTTATAGGATGCTAGTCTGCAAACGTAGAGACTGTATTCTTCTTGGGGATCAAGACAACAAGTGTACTAGCAATAGCTCTTGGCAGGGGAATCCCCAACATAAATTCACGACAAGCTTGCAACAAATCTCCGTACACAATATCCCAACAGCTTCTATAAAAAAGACCCTCAAATCCATCCACCCCAGGTGCACTTTCATGACTAAGACTAAAGACCGCAGCCCTCACCTCATCAAGGTCCACTTATCGACAAAAGAACACATTATCAGCGCCACTAACCAATGACGGAATACCATCAAGAAGAGACAACTGAGCCTCTTCCCTCCCTTCTCATAACTCCTCTGTCAAAAGAGTCTGAAAAAACTATGTCGCCTCCATCTCTAGTAGGGCTGGCAATTTCTGACACGACTCAGAATTTCGACACGAACCCGACACGAAATGACCCGACACGAACACGACATGTATATTAAATAGGTCGGGTTAGGGTTGAAAATTTGGATCCATTTAATATACGGGTCGAGTTAGGGTCAACCCGACGGATTACTCGGGTTACCCGCGAACATGTAAATTTTGTATACTGTAGGAGTAATTTGGGAATTTTATAACAAAGTAACCGTAATTTCACCCCATATATATACCCCTCTTCCTCTCCCTCAGCCACCTCTTCAGCTCTTCTCCTCACTCCTTTTTTTTTGTTCCTTTTCTTTTTCTTTCCTCTCTTCCTCTCCCTCTTGCTCGGCCGCCTCTTCTCCTCTCTCTTTTTTTTTTTGTTTCTTTTTCTTTTTCTTTCCTCTCTTCCTCTCCCTCTCGCTCGGCCGCCTCTTCTCCTCTCTCCTTTTTTCGTTTCTTTTTCTTTTTTTTATTTTCTTTTAATTTTCCCTTCAATTGAAACCTTTCCTGAAAGATCTGATAGATGGGACATTTGATCTGTGAGTTAAAGGGTAAAAGGATATCGAAAAGCTCCGACTTTCAATGCTCTAATTATTGTTTTTACAGTCATTGTGGTCGACAGCGTTCGGGCGGCGAGTTGCAGCGAGAACGCAGTGAAGAAGAAGATAATTTTAGTTTTTCAGAAATTTTAGGATTGGTCCTCGTGTTGTTCTATATAGCAAAAGGTTGTAATTTAGATTTAATTTTGTAATTTGAATATTGGTTTTTTACTTGTTTGGACTTTGGATCAAGGTGGTTGTAATTTGTGTGATTTGAAACTGGAATTTTCAGATTTTTTTGGAACTGCAATCTTAGTTTTTCTTGATTTTAGATTTTTTTTTTTTACAATTTCAGGTTAACAGGTCGAGTCACAGGTGACCTAAATATTTTCAGGTCGGGTTAGGGTTCTAAAACTTGACCTGTTTATTTATACAGGTTGGGTCCGGGTTGGCTGAATATTATTCGGGTTCGGGTCCGACCCGACACGCCAGCCCTGACCCGACACGGATTGCCAGCCCTAGTCTCTAGGCTTTGCTGATTATGAAGCCGATCTCTTGTTTCTGTTTGGATTTTATGAATCCCCATACGTGATTTCTTCCCGCGAGAGAAGCATGAAAAAACTTAAATTTGCTTTGTTTGTTTGGATTTTTTGATGGTATTTTTAAAATATTTAAATAATAAATGTCCCATCCCATCACACCTTTTTACATTTTCAATACACCTTTTTACATTCCCAATACAAAAAACACCTAGAAAACACACTAAAAAAACGAAACAAACATGAATCACCATCCTTCAGCCATTTTAGACGCACTTTTTGGTGCTAGTAATCTTCATGCTCTTTTAATCTTGCAAGTAAAACTGCTTTCACCTCATGGAGCTTAACTCGATTATCCTCCAACAGATCCCCATCATAAACACCTTCAAGGGTTTGAACATTGGCTTCTTCCTTTTTAAGATTGTCAAAAACATCTTCAAAAACAGCCTTATTCCACTCTTTCAATACACATTTTAGCCGCCTCAATTTCAACAAAAATGCTAACAAGCCATATGCAGCAACGGGTTCCTCCCAACTTACACGAACTACCTCCAAGAAATCAGAACGTCTTAACCACATATTTTGAAACCGAAAAAGTTTTGGGTTACTATTCAATTGAGGCGCAAACTGATGAAGAAGCGGGTAATGATCTGAGGTCACTCTATTGAGATTTTTAACAGAAGATACCGGAAAAAGATTCCCCCATTCACTAGATAATTAAACCCTATCAAGCTTTTTGCTAATCCAACCCGTCTACCTTGTGGCACCCCATGTAAATTCCTCACCAACTGTCAAAAGCTCAAAAAGCTCACAACTAGCTATACAGTCATTGAACTCCTCAATAGCAACATGATCTTGGATTGAAGACCCCGAATATTCTTCCAAGGACTGAATTACGTTGAAATCGCCGCCAACCATCCAAGGGACACTTGCATAATGATATCTAAATGCAGCCAGATTTGTCCATAAAATTTGCCACGCCTGTTTAGTGGATTTCGCATAAACAACCGAAACATGGAAAGTCTCTGGAAATGATCGGCTATGGATTTCTATGTGGAGCACCTGCTCGTGATTCTCAAGAACTGAAACTGCAAAATCATCCTGGTAGAAAACCCAAATTTTACTTGTGCAAGAGGAAAAACATCTATCGAAAGTCAATTCTCTACGAATCTCATCCAATTTATGAATTGGCAACATAGGTTCAAGAATAATTAAAAAAGACACCCTATATACTCTTTTCAAAACCTTCAACCGCCTTTGCGAGGCTTGACTTTTTATGCCTCGTATATTCTAAATGATTTGATTAAACATTGGAAGAAGAGGAATGTTCGCTAAGACGGAGCGAATGCCGTGGCACCAAACCGGCCTGCAATTTTAACCTTTCTGCATTCGTTTTTCTCCCACGTTTTCCTTTGACTGTTAATTCTCCTTATTCCAATTGCTCAACCAGCACATCATCTATTTCCCTCTCTGACCAGAGTTCACGTTCAATAGGTTTGCCATAAACTGAGTTATCCTCACGTCGATAATCTACTTGGGCATCATCCTGGATTAGTAGTTTCCCATCTGGATCAATCGGAGAAATTCATGTTTCCTTCTCAACACCCAGATTAAGTGACTCAGTTGTGACAGCGCGTTGTGACAAAACAGCGCGTTGTTTCTGTTCATTCATCGTTTTTTCTGCATCTTTTTCAATTATAACAGCATGCTGTGACAAGGGAACGCGCTGTGAAACTCGCTGTTCTTGTTCCAGATTACTGTGGCTTTTTTCCACCACCCTACTAGCGGCACTAACAGTCGATACCACCAGATTCATAGCTTCCTCCTGCACATCAACTGATATAGTAGCTTTCTCTTTGGTTGTTAAGCCCGAGGAAGAGACAGCATTGTCCGACTGATCCTTGATTACAACACCAACTTGGGGCTTCCACTTAGGCTTTTGGGTCTTCAATACAATTCATTTCCCCTTTTTACTCTGATCAGTTTCTTTCTCAGCATCGTTTTGTTGCACAGTAGGAAACGCCTACGGAGCCAGGCCTTTCTTGCAATCATCCCTTTTATGACCAATTTTACTACACTTTGGGCAATATGATGGGATATGCTCATAAGTAAAGTATTGATCGTGTTTTCTGCCCTTCTTCCCAATTCGAACAAACTTTAGGAATTCCTTTGTCAAATCTGCTTCAACACAAAATCTAGCCATTGATGGTCTTGTCATATTCATTGTTGGTGCATCCACCTTGAGCGGTTTCTAGATGGTAGTCGCCATGGAGAAGATAACCTCCGAATTAAGGTATTCAATCGGAAGGTCGTACAATGCTACCCATATCGGAACAATTGGCGGGTCTTCTTCATACTTAAAACTGTACGAATTGAATTTCCAGCAACGTTCCAAAACGTTCGGATCCAGCACTTTTGATAATCCTTTTCGCGATCAAATTGGATGAGGATATACCTTGGGTTCATCAGTCCAAGCGTATAGCCTCCCTGAAACCCTATCTTGCAAAATTCTTCATGAATTTCTTCCATCTTGGTCTTCCGTAGGAGAATTTCCCTACCAAACTCGGACGATGTGGTGCCAGAAGCCGTTCAAATTCATCGTCTTCAAATTCAGGCACGGGCGCGCCATCGATGAATTTCACCGGCTTAATTAGCAATGACTTTTGTCGATCCGGTTCCACTGTTTGCCGAAAAAGCTTCCAAAGGACCGAGGGGGTCCAGTGGCCCCCTCTCCCTTGTTGATCACCGGCCATGGTGGCCATCAATGTGCCAAATTTGTCGAGGGGCGCGAGAGGGTTTCGATCGAGAGAGAGAGGCTAGGGGTTTTTTCCGAACAAAACCAGTTCACAATGTTTAGTGAACTGGTTTATTATTTACACACACTCCTACAATTGTAGTTTTTATCTCTCCCTTATCTATTCAATCAGATTCTTTTTATTTATTTAAAATTCATAACTAATTAAATCCAAACAAACTACATTTCAAATTTTATCCAAATTCTGAACTTTGTTGTACGATATAAAATTTGGATACAAGTTGAATTATAGTTTGTTTGGATTTGATTAGTTATGAATTTTAAATAAATAAAAAGAATCTGATTGAATAGATAAGGGAGAGATAAAAATCAAAATTGTAGGAGCGTATGTAAATAATAAGTCAATTCACCAAACATTGTGAACTGTGTTGTACGATATAATTACTCTCAAATTTTACAGTAACAAAAATTACAATCCTAACAAGAAACAAATTCAATTACAACTAGAGTCATATAATAAAAAAAATAAAATTACACACTACCATACAAAAAATACGTAATAAAATGTAAACAAATAGTAATGTTCATGGCTTAAAGTGGAAAAATGCAAAACAAAACATATTAAATTTCATGATATTCATATTAAGTTCATGACCATATTATGTTCATGTTAAATATAGTCAATATTTATACATCGCAAATGTTATATTCATGATAAGTTTGCATCATATTCATACATGCAATAAGATAAGAAAACGAATCAGACTTGAGTGTTTAATATGATAAAATGTTCAAACCCATTTAAAGAAAAGTTCATGAATGAATAATATAGACAAGCGTGTTCATGGTTTTATTAAAAATTATTCATTAACATATAAGGACATATTCATCGAAAACTCTATTGTTTTCTAACTTTTTAAATGTAAACTCAACATTACCAAAATCATATAGAGGAAGTTCATCTTCATGAACGGATGTTAATTGAAGTTGTTGGGAACAATACATCATCTTCAATGCGTATCAATTGAATCGTCGTTGGTTTCAACCGTGAAAATGCAATTTTGGGTGAATCCATTGTTAGCGCTATCGTTTGAGCTCGCTCGTCACTGCCACCTCTTTGATAGACTTCTAAAGTATCATCGTTCATCATAAATGACATCAAAAGGATTTGATTCAAATCAAAACTTAGTCTTGTAATTCTTAACGAATGAAAGATAGTTTGCATCTACTTTTCAATTTCTGCTTTATTTTATAGATGAAAAGTTAAGTGAACTGCCAAATAGTGTTGATAAAATACTAGATTTTCTGTTTTGATTTTTTAGATACGATTGACTATAGCATAAAGAGAACAATAAGGGGGAAAAATATCAATTATATTGATGCACGTGGTTTTTATAATAAAAATTAATTGAAATTTAACTTCTTTTTTAAAGCGTGTAATACAATTCCTAAAACAAGTCCACATTCTATTGTGAACGTGGTTTACCATCTAAATTGGCATTTTAGAAGTTTGACTATAAAAGAATATTTTTGAAATAAAAAGTATTTATTTTTCAATAAATTAATATTGAATACAATAATACAAAATTAATAAAATTTGCAATTAAAAATAATAAAATAATATTAAACCAATATAACATTATTTTAAAAAATAAAAAATAACTTTTTCAGCCAATTTTTTAACCCAAGCCCATCATCATAATGGAAATATGAAACCCTAGACACCAATCATTTAACCCTCCAAAGTGGAATCCCACCTTATTAATAAAATAATTCAAAATAACAAAATTAATAAAATAATATTTTAAAAAAATTAAGAAAATTATATTCTTTTTTTAAAAAAAAATATTAATTGCTGAAATTGTAAAAAATTTCATAGTTTAGTCTTTTTATACAATATATCTATTAAACAAAATCTAAATCTTGTGCAATTGTAAACAATTTTAGAATCTAGTCTTTTGAAAAAACTACATAAATTTTTGAATTTTGTGAAAGTAATATTTTATTAATTTTGTGATTTTGAGTTATTATTGTTAATTTAATATTATTTTAATATATATATATATTTTTTGTTAAAAGATAAATTTTATACAAAATCATCAAACAGTGAAAGCTCATTACATCAGATCCATTTCCTATCTATTACAAAACTTTTGAGGTCATTAAACACCTCTCTGCAAACAGTTTTACAAAGCCATAAAAAAAAGGTAAAATGCTCCTTTCAGTTTCACTAGCCTTCAACTTTATTCTCTGACCAAACCTATGTTTCAATTCTAGTTTCAATCCACTAAATAAGAGCTCAGGAGAACGCTCTTCATTGTCAAACTGTCTTCTATTCTTCTTTGCTAATAAATGATAAATACACCCAACAGGCAACAACTACAGCTCTGAATATGCTCCTTCTCAATTTTTGCTTCTTCCACATGCATAGTATCTGCATTTTCCATCTTAGAGAGTGACCTGCTAGCTTTCTACACTGTAACCAGCCTTTCAATAGCTCCAGCATCCGTTGCGAATACCAACAGTTAAAGAAAAGATGATCACAAGTTTCAGTTTATGCTCTACACAGCCAACAGCTACTGTCAATTACATTCGTATTCGTATTCGATCATACCAACTAGGCAATAAAAGCATGCTTTAGTATATTAGCATTAGCCCAGATACATGTAGCATTATCATCTTACACACATTCCCCCAACAACCATTGATAACCTGAAGCTACAATGTAAATACCTGACTGTTGCATTTTCCAACTATTGCCAACAAAGCTAGCCTTGAATAAATCTCGTAGTTTTATAAGCTGTTTCCAGTGCCAACTGGAATCAGCCTTCGGAGAGATATCCCAAAAGTTGGTCTGTTTAGAATCAACTACCACACCTGCTTCATAATTAGGGATTCCTTCCACAGCATCACATCCTTAACACCCAACCCACCCTCTTTCTTAGTTCTACACACAGCATTCCAATTGACTAACGACATTGCTCTATCATATTTACCACCCCACGGAAGCTCCCTACACACCATGTTCACCATTTCAGTCACTTTTCGGGGGAAGAGTAAACATATTGCTCCAATACGAATGCATAGTCATCTCAACCGAGTTCACTAGGACTAGTCTCCCGGCATAAGATAAATGCCGAGAGCTCGAACACCTAATCCTATATTCTATTTTTGTTACAATGACCTGACACTTTAACTGATTCTATTTATGTGGAGACAAAGAGACACCCAGGTACTTCATAGGGAAAGTACCACGACCAAACCCTATGATTTTACTAAAAAGTTCTTGTTCTCTAGTTCCCACACCCCCAAACAAAATCTCGGACTTTTGCATATTCACAACAAGTCCAGTAACAACAGAAAAATCTTGAAACACATCCATAATAAGTTTAACAGACGGAACATCTGCTTTACAGAAAATCATTAGATCGTCTGCAAAACA